AGAGAGAGAGAGAGAGAGAGAGGAAAAGTGAGAAATCGCCCTGGGCGGGGGAATGGCCATGCCACAATCCCTTTCCTCCTTCCTCCATTTTTGGCTGAGTACCTTTTTCCTGGGAGAATTGCCACGTGGAAGCACGTGCCTGGCATGATTTTCAAGGGAGCATCACTGGCCTGAGCGCTTAGCACTCCGACTGCTAGGCCAATAGAGTCTCCCATGAGTGAAGTTCTTGCCTCTCGTGCGTTTCCATGCAGACACGGTGGGCGTAGGCCTTGTTTGCGGCCACTGCCCCACGCGCTCACTGAAGAAATAAGCGAGAGTGCGCACGCATCTCTCCAGGCGCCACCCAGCACTTCTCCCACACTTCCTTAGGGAATCCCCCACATCCCTGATGCAGGTGCAGGACCATCACCTTTACAGAGAGGACACTGAGGCACTTGGGACCGTCCCCTCCCGCTCTCTGCGTTGTGTCTGTTCTCAGTGACCGGGGATAGCTGTGGAATGTTCTCCTTTCCAGCTCATGAGTGACCCGGTTCTGTACCAGGAGAAGCTGCTGAGACCTGCGGTGTTGATGCTGGAGAAGGGCGCGAGCCAGGAGGAAGACGAGGCCCTGCGTGTGCTCTCGCTGCGTGCCCTCGGCAACATGGCTCTGGGCGCCCCCAGAAAGGTACCGTGACGGCCCAGGGCCCGGGTCCCCTGCAGGCTGCAGGCAGCCAGGGAGCGAGGGTGGAGGCTGAGGCTGCCCGTGCCCCTCCAGGTGAAGCAGTACCGGAAGCTCTTGCTGGAGAAGTGCCTGAGCTCCCTGGGGGGGCCCGTGAGCACCAGTGTGATGGCCGAGGGCATGGAGGCCCTGACCAAAATCCTGGCTGAGCTCCGAGAAGGGGACATGGGGTCCTCCTTCGACACCATCTCCGAGCAGTGCAGGGTCTTCTTCGACAACGTGAGTCAAGATGAGAGGCTCTCTGGGTTTTTCTGATGAATGAGTGAGCCCTTCCCGCCCCCAGAGAGATGTGCAGAAAGGGCCCTGGGTCCTCCTTGGTGCAGGTATATGGATCAGCTGGTCATAGGCTCTCGACAAAAGAAAAGTCTCCTTCTAAGTTCTGATAGTCAACACTGTAGAATCGGAGGGTGTGTGGGCCCTTCCAGCCCTGCGACGAGGCAAGGGCATCCCCCTTTAATTCCTTGCAGCCCTCGTGCACTCCTTGAGCACCATACTGGGCTCCTGCAAGTGGCCGTGCTCAGATCCTCTTCCAGGGAACATATAGTTGCAAAGACCAGGGTGATGCTCAGTCTCAGAGGACGCTCTT